TGAAGGTGGGGGTGGCAATATTAGGGTGCCCTCTGAAGTACAAACCACATATGCAAGCTGAAACGGAAAAAAAAATCCCCTTGAAGCCCCTTCAACCAACCCTCAAGTATGTTCCTTGAAAATCCAGCCCTGCAGGCTACTAAGGCTATTATCTGTGTACTGTTTAGTATATAGTCAAACTTTTTTTTTTCTTTCAATGCTCAGGGGTTACTCCTGGCTCTGCACTCAGGAATTATTCCTGGCAGTGCTTGGAGGACCATATGGGATGGCAGGGATTGAACCCAGATCAGCTGCATGCAAGGCAAACGCTCTACCCACTGTACTATCATTCCGGCCCCAAAAGTCAGTCTAACTTTTCAGATGTTACTTTCCATTCCAAATAACAACTCAAGTTATACAACATGCGATTAATATGATGGCATTCCTTGCTATCAAATATTATTATTAAGCAGACTTCTTTAGTAATATTTCTTGGTGCTTATGCTGCTTTCTAAGAGAAAAGACATGCAATCTAGGCAAATCTCTACATCTGATCAACGAAGGTAGATTTTAAGGAAGTTACTACACTTAGGACTGTTTTTTCCATTCAGTTTGAAGATATAAAAATGATTTCGGGGGATGGCAGGTGGAAAGGGTTTTACTCCGGATGCCACAGATTCAAATCTGAAGAGCCCTGGAAAACATATGCCCCTTGATTACAAGAAAAAACTTGAGTATGTTTCCAATCAGACAGATTTGGGAATGGAAATTATAGCTCACATTTGCAAGTATGCAGGCAGACAGCAGTTTGCCTAAACTGGCAAGGACAGAAGTGGGCTGGAGAAGGACGCAAGAAAGCAAATTGGCCGAAGAAAGGTAACTAAAAATCAACAGCAGCTTTTCGCATTCCTGAAAAAGGTCTCTGAGGTCAAAAAAAAAATTCCATAACCTTTTATAACCGGCTTCTATTGTGATTTTGAATTCCTTTGGGAAATCACAGTCTCCATGATGTGGATCACACTTCCATCAATTCATTCATCCTCTATCATTTACTGCCGACTCTGTGTTTCTGCCACAAAGCTAAGTAAATTACACTCTCTGTGTCCAAGGGGGCTGAATCTATTCTTGCTAGAAGTTCACAATTATCCAAGGAACCACACCATCGTTGAGGGGCTTGCTGAAAAATTTTCCTATGCTTCCTATTAAGGTATCCTCTAGACATTTGCTTCCCCAATCCAGGTCACGGAAGAAAAGTTACTCAAACATTCAATTTGTGAAATCATTTCATGACAATTTTCAAGTCCATCTGCATTCAAGTACGTTACCCAAATTATTACCAATTCTCATGGCACTGAGAGTATCCCACCCGCACGGCAAAGCTCTGGCAAGCTCCGCATGGTGTATTCGATATGCCAAAAACAGTAACAACAAGGCTCACAATGGAGATGTTACTGATGCCAGCTCGAGCAAATCGATGAACAATGGGAGGACAGTGCTACAGTTCTATCATGGCACTAAGCTCTCCCTAAAACCACTGAGTATAAATCGGAAAGGAGCCAGAGTGGCTGCCCCTGCCTCCAAGTTTTCAAATAATTCAACAATGGGATGAGTCACAGAACTGCTTTCTTCACAGAGACCTTCAGCAGTGAGTGCAATCACTGTTTTACACCCCGTTACTACCCCAGAATAGCAAAATACCATTCTTAATTAGTTGACTGACTTCTAAATAAAAACGGTGATAAACTCTTTGGTACTTGGTTAAGAAAATAATTATGCTGGTAATTTGATTCAGTGGAATCTCTATTTGTACAGTTCCTCTTTAAGCCAATAGATGAGCTCTGCCCAGAGAACATACGTGGCCAAGATACTGAGATGTGTTACGTGAATCACTGCCATGAAATACTGCCTACATAAAAGCAGAAATACAACTCAGTTGAATCTACTCCAAAAAGCTGACTTTTACATCCCTTTCCAATGATAAATTGAAGTTATTTGCCCTAACCTAGATGTAGATAATAATGACATATTTCTATCTAAAATGAATGTGCTGAAATCCAAAGAACAAAGCTGGATATTTTTTAGTCCACAAGAATAAAACTCTTAAATGAAACCTGGTATTAGGCTTTTTGGCAGCAGCTATTCTACCTCTGAGTAGGGAGGATTAATAAATGTGTACCTGCACATGTAGATACAGAAAAATCAGGTGAATATGGAGGCACTGGGAAGGGGGGGACAAGCTTCCCCTGCCCTTGTTGACCCTAGGAAACCCCTATCCACTGCCTAAAAATGCACTAAAAGTCAGAGCTCACATATATGTCATGTGGAGAACCTATTCTGAGGCAGATTTCTAGATCCTACATCCCTGACTCTTTATTTTTGAAACTACTTAAAATAATTTTTATTTAATTGAATATTTACAAAGTTATTGACAGTTGAGTTGTAGGTATATAATATTCCAGCACCAATCCCACCACCAGTGACAATTTCCCTTCCTTTCTTTCCCCACACTGCCATCCTGACAGGCACATTTTAAAGTTTAGTGGTAATAGTTTGGATCTTACATTGTCAGTGTTGTTGTGTCTATGCTTTGGATATACAGTCATACCACACCCCCATACTACAAGTATTTCCCGAGGTCCCTGACTTCCTGTTCACCCATTACATCCCTTTCTCATCTTTTTTCTTCCCCCCTTTATTTTCTTTTTCATCCTTCTCGCCGTACTCTGGGCTCAAGGATAATCTAGGTATCCCCCCTTTAAAGCACTGCATTTCCACATCTAGTTATTCTATATGCCACAGCTAAGTGAGATCATCCTGTCTTTTTCCTCCTCCTGGCTTACTTCACTAAACAGAATATCTTTCAGTTCCATCCAGATACAGCAAATCACATGATTCCATCATTCTCTGCAGCTGCATAAGCATTCCAGAGATATATCCTTGATTCTTAATTCAGAAAGTTTTAGTCCTCTGGGAAAAGTACAGAATTTTTAACAAGAATTCCTACTTTACGTGACTCTTAGACCACACTCTAGAAACACTAAGGGTTCCTCACAAAAATTAAGACCGAAAAAAATTACGAAGTGTTTTAATTAAGAAAATACTCTAATGTAAATTTGCTAATATTATCAAATTTCCTACACAAGTTGGGAGTAAACATAGAGGACTCCTAACTTGGACTTCACTTAGTTAATTGGAGTGACAAAATACCTTCATTTATATTCTCATGAAGTAAGGAAAAAATCTGAACTTTCCCTATAAGATTTTTGTTCTGCTAAAACAGCAATCACTTGAAAGTATTAATCACTTGAAAGCAAGAAAAAATGTCTAAATTCATGAGATAGTTTTATATCGAGTGTTTGGATTAAAACTTGTTTATATTTCTGGAATGGTCCACAACGAGTGTAAAACATAAGATTCTTGAAAACCTGACATGGCTAAAACTTACTCCAAAATAGTCAACCTATAACTCTATCAGCTGATATCAACCTTCTGTTGCCTTGGAAAACTTTCCTGGGTACGATCACAAACATAGATGCTACTGGCCTAACCAGAACAAGCCTTGGACAAAATTGTCAAGGCAAAAAACTAACTCCAGCCACCACTTCTGACTTCCTAATGGACAAGGCAATCCTTGTTCTTCCCAGACAACGTTTGACCAAACATCTTTTAGAGGTATACCTAAGAAGAACCCTTCAGTTAAGAGAGAAAGAGAGAACTCAGATAAATAGCCAGGAATCGCCCACCCACACAACGCCTTGACCGGTCAAGTCCTTGGGCCTCATCTCCACTCCTCTTTGGTCTCCTATTCTTCTGGCCACACACAGACTCTGACAGATCAAGGAGAATTCAGTCCCTTGACCCTGGCCTTTTCTCTAAATCCTCACCTTCCTCCTGGCCTCGGTTCCTTCGGGTTAGTTGGTAACCTCATCAAGATTTCTGGGTCCTGGACTGGAGCAATAGCACAGCAGATAGGGCATTTGCCTTGCATGTGGCAGACTTGGATTCAATTCCCAGCACCCAAGATGGTCCCCGGAGCACCACCAGGAGTAATTCCTGAGCGCAGGGCCAAGAATAACCCTAGTGCATCGCCAGTGTGACCCCAAAAGCAAAAAAAAAAAAAATTCTGGGTCCTGACGGCACCTTACCATACCCAAGTCTGCTTTCTTCGAGGCTGCAGACTCCAGCACTGAGTGTTTCTCCAACAAAGATATCACAGCCACGCCAATGGATATCACCACCTTCTCCTGGACTCCAGCCATGTGTGGTCCTTACACCACTTATCCCTGCAAGGTTCCAGAGCAAAGCTTGGGTGGGTGGTGGGAGAGCACAGGGATTAAGTGGGCTGGCTCTAGCATCCCAAACACCCGCCTTCGCTCTATCATTGGTCTTTATAAAACTAACTTCTAATCCATAATACAGGGGTAACTGTAACTATCTCCTAGGATCACACAAGGATTAAATGGCATCTATTTAGTTTAGAATAATGCCTAACACAGTACACGGCCCGTTATTGATAAGAGTTCAAAAATAAGCATATTCAGTATCACTCTCTCCAAAGAGAGATACATGTTTTGGTCATTCAGAACTTCCCCCCCAAAACCTCTTATCACCTGTCTTCAAGTTACCCTCTATCCATGTCATCCTCCTAACATCAGCAATTAATTTTAATACACGTTCACTCTGTATGCTACCACTTTCAACCTTTTGCAACTAACTAAAACCTCCACCTGGCCTTGGATCCCGCCTGCCTGGACATTACTCTGATAACCATTGTATAATTGAAACCCAAGCACAAAATATGTAAGTCTACAACTGTACCTCATGGTGTCTCACTAATAAAAATTAAAAAAAAAAATTCTGTCCTCCTTAGCCAACCTTCTAGAAAGTGCAGACTCTACAATGTCTGCTTCCACACATCCCACCCCCTCCCTCTAAGAACAGCATTTCCTCCCAATGCCCAGAGACCCACACAATGCTGGCAGTGGTCTCACAAGTCTTTCAAGTCATTTAATCTTGTAGACACTTCTTGGTCCTCCTCCTGAGCCTCGCTGCCTCTCCTAAAATAGTTGGCTCTTTACTGGCAGCTTCATGCTCCCCTTCCCTGGGTTTCTCCCTTCTATTCACCAGCTCTTAATGTCCTTTGACTCCTCAGTGGACAGCGCTCCTCCACCTGCTCTTTGGACTCAAGACTTTTCAACCATTACAAAATATCCTCAATCTCATGGGCCCCGGAGTTTTGACTAGTTTTACTGTTACAGTTTTACTGCCACCAACACTATCACCTTGCTTCACCCTGACTTCAACCTTGTCCCTCTTCGTATGCATCTGTGGGCATTTCGGAATCCACAGGGCCCAAACACACCTTGTGGTTTTCGACCAACCTAAGCCAGCAAATGGGCACCAGGTTTATTCCACCATCCAGGACAGAAACCCTGAATTAACCGAGACTTTTCCTTCTCAGGACAGTTTACAGGCAGAAACGACCAGCATGGCTGTTTGGAAAGGTGACTGGAGAGAAGGGTCTTTGCAAAGGAGCAGAACAATAGGCAGAACGGAACCTACGGCAATGGGGCAGGGGTCTTCACAGAAGCCTGAGGATGTGCACACAGAAGGTAAACGCCGGATCAGCAAGTACTTTCTTGGTGAACAGTGAGGGTACAGAAGATAGCTTGAGAGGTCTGTCCTAGCGATGAAGACCTCTGGTGTGAAGTGGAATTCTCAGTGTACTGACTTCATTACTGCTTTCCTCTCTGAATAACTGAACAAGGCCAGTCACAGAAATCTTGAGTTCTACCCAACCCCTCAATGTGCCATACCTAGTGAGGTTACAGGCTACTCCTTGCTCTGTGTTCGGATATCACTCCTGGAAGAATTCAGGGGATTTTATGGGGTGCCAGGAATCAAACCAGAGTAGGCTGCAAGCAAGGCACGTGCATTGCCTGCTGTTCTCTCTCTCTCTCTCTCTCTCTCTCTCTCTCTCTCTCTCTCTCTCTCTCTCTCTCTCTCCCCTCTCTCTCTCCTCTCCCTCTCCCTCTCTCTCCCTCCCTCCCTCTCCCCGCCCCATCCCTTAGCTAACAACTGTTAGAAATGGGGTACCTGCCCAAACCTGGCCAACAAGATTTGTGAGAAGACTGATAAGGCATTTGTAAAACCATTTGCCTCTTAGCAAAGGGGAGGTTCTTCTCCTGTGTGGTTGCAGAGCCTGAAAATGCTGCAGATGTCTGACCAGTAACTGCCCGAGAGCCTGCCCATTCACAGCGGAGGGCAGAGCTACAAGCAGCAGAGAGAGACGGTGCTGGAGGCTCCTATTCCCCCTATGAAGCTTGTGCTGACCCTGCGTCCTCCTTGGAATTGTGCAGTTTCCAAGATCAGACAGGATAAGGTGTATTCAGGGAGGTACGGCTGTACACCGTGTACTGTTTCTCAGGACAGTGAGTGTCCGCATTGTTCATTTTAAAAATAGAAGGGGCAGCAGGGATGTCTGATTTAGGAAGCACTGAGTTAAATACAGTTAAACGGAGATGAAGAGATAAGAGAGTAAGGCATTTGCCTTGCACACTGCTGGCCAATTTGATCCCTATTATCACATATGGTCCCCTAAACACCTCTAGGAGTAATCCCTGAGCACAGCAGAGTATAGCCCATACACCCCCAAGTATATTATATATATATATATATATATATGATTTTCTACTGTAGAATTTCTCAGAATCCCAATAACATACCTTGCAAAGCTTCAAAAACTGAGTGTTTCAAAGTCATATGATTACCAAACCAACTTCATATCCTTCCCTTCCCTTTCGTTGTTTTCGCGGTACATTTATTTTTGACTTTGACTTATTGGGGTTTTGTTTTGTCTTGTTTTGAGATCATGCCTGACAATGTTAGTCGCTCCTCCTAGTGTGGTGCTCAAGAGACAGCCTCAGAGTGCTTGGGAGACCCTGTGGTGTCAGGAAATGAACCCGGGACTCCAGCACACAAATCTTGGGCTCCCACCTTTTGAACAATCTTACCAGTCCCTCTGCAGGGCATTTAAAAGCATCTCCCACAACATACTATTTGGATCCCAGTTTAGAAAGCTGAGTTTTACCTGAAGAGATGGAGAGTACATGACCAGCTATTGGATCAAAGCACAGTGACGACAGTAACAGAGGCAGAAAAGAAGAGCTCTGGGATTCCAGAGGGAACAACGCCATTCTATGAGGTCATTTCTCAGAGTAGTAGATAGATCTCACATTCCATGCCAACTCCAAGCAGCCCTTCGTGGCTACCTGGAATGCTGTACTGGAAAGGATTCTGAGTCCAAATTCAGCAAAAAAAAAAAAAATAAAATAAAAATAAAATAAAATCCCTTATTAAAACCAAATGGCAGAGCATTATCCTAAACAAGTATGTCCTGCTTTAGACATATAGAATATTTACAAATATAGGTTGTAGAATATTTAAAAATAGGTTATGTATTCCTCAAGACAACTCATTTTTTCCAGTTCTATCTCCAGAGAAGGTCAAGAAACTCTCGTCAAACCCACACCAACAGCTTTCCTAACATCCAGGATGAGTCACTTGTTTCTTGGTGTCTGTGATTTTCAGTGCTGAAAACAACACAGCTTGGTAAAAGCAAACAGAACAGGTGAAGTTCCAATAATCGGAGCTGGGACTGGCTGTGACACCAAGTTATGATGCCCTGCTCTCTATGACCATTCAGCCCCACTCCGCATTTCTTTTGTATTATTTTCTGAATTTGCACTTTAAATTTTAAATTAAAAGTTCAATTTTTATTAAAAGTTCAACTTTTTTTTTTTTTTTTTGCTTTTTGGGTCACACCCGGCGATGCACAGCGGTTTCTCCTGGCTCTGCACTCAGGAGTTACTCCTGGCAGTGCTCGGGGGACCATATGGGATGCTGGGTATTGAAGCCGGGTCGGCTGCATGCAAGGCAAATGCCCTACCCACTGTGCTATCTCTCCAGCCCCTCAACTTGTAAATTAAAAATTCATTTAAGCCTTCTTCAGGGACCTGAGGACATAGTTCAGCAGGAAAGCACTTGTATGTATGAGGCCCTGGATTTAATACACGCCCCCCCCCCCCCCCCACACACACACACCTCTTCCCCCTGGAGATAAAAATAACTCCTACAAGCAAAATCTTTTTTAAAATTTTTTTATTTTGTTTTGGAGTCACACCTGGCAATGCTCAGGGCTTACTCCTAGCTCTGTGCTCAGGAATCACTTCTGGTGGTGCTGGGGGATCACATGGGATGCCAGGAATCAAACGGGGTCAGCCACATACCAGGCAAGCACCTTGCCTACTGCACTATCACTCTGGTCTCCCTTCTTTAAGAGTTCTGTGGCCTTACCCAGTGGTGCTCAGGAGTTGACTCCAAGCTCTATGCCCATCCAGGACGAGAGACAGAACCTGGGCGTCCCACATGCAAAGCATGCGCACCTCATTGAGCAGTTTGGTCCTCAAAATATTTCACAAGGGGCTGGAGCTATAGCACAGTGGGTAGGGTGTTTGCCTTGCACGCGGCCAACCTGGGTTCGATTCCCAACATCCCATAAGGTCCCCCAAGCACCGCCAGGAGTGACGAGGGCCTCCTGAGTGCAGAGCCAGGAGTAACCCGTGTGCATCACCGGGTATAACCTAATCACTTATCACTTAATCACTTAATCCCCGTTATTCATCGATTTATTCGAGCGGGTGCCAGTAACGTCTCCATTCATCCCGGTTGCGTGCTAGCGTAGCCCAATGGTATCTGTTCGTTTTAGGAACATGTAGAGCCTCAAACCGATCATTTAGGGTCTTGACGAAGAAGTCTGACCATCTTATAGGTGGGCGTCCACGTGATCTTTTGATGTCTCGTGGAATCCAATCAGTAATGGCTCTAGTCCAGCGGTTGTCTGTAAACCTCATTACATGTCCAGCCCATCTGATTTTTGATGTCTTGGCAAATGAGACAGCGTCTCTGATTCTTGAGCGTTGACGAAGATCAGAACTCCGGATTCTATCTCTCATTTGAGTGAATCGTGATATTCCAAGCATAGTTCTTTCGATTCCTCTTTGAGAGACCCGAATAGTGTTCTCATCCTGTTTTCGTAGGGTCCAGGTCTCTGAGGCATATGTTAATGCAGGAAGAATAGTGGAATCAAAGAGATGTGCTCGTAGTTGGAGGTTCTTTGTCCTTTTAGTTATTTCTTCAATGCTCTTGAAGGCATTCCAAGCCGCTCTCTTCCTCCTGCGTAACTCAGGTGCCAGGTCATTCATCATGTTGATTTCTCGACCTAAGTATATATAACTGTTGCATTCGGAGATGGTGGTTCCGTTGAGAGCGAATGGAGCGTCAGGAACAAGGCTGTTTCTCATAAACATTGTCTTCGTAAGATTCAGCTGTAGTCCAACCTTTCCACACTCACGGTCAAAGTCCGCAAGCATTTGTGCTGCTTGGCTGATGTTTGGTGTTATTAGAACGATGTCATCAGCAAAGCGGAGGTGGTGTAGTTGCCGACCATCTATCTTCACTCCCATGTTTTCCCATTCTAGTCGTCGCATGATGTTCTCGAGGGTGGCACTGAAGAGTTTTGGTGAAATGGTATCACCCTGCCGAACCCCTCTCTTGATATGGATGATTACTTCTTTGTAGAATGGTGAGATCTTGGTAGTGAATCCGCAATAGAGCTCACGAAGGATCCTGATGTATTGAGTTTGTACGCCCTGATTGGCTAGGGCTTCCATGACCGCTTCCGTCTCAACAGAATCAAAGGCCTTCTTTAAATCAATGAACGTTAGACAGAGCGGCATCTTGAACTCCCGAGATACCTCAATAGCCTGGCAAGCTATCCGTGATCTATGCCAAATAGACCAAATTGATATGCCAAATCCAGTAATAAATGGATCTCATTCCCCTAATAACCTAATACGCAAAAAAAAAAAATTACAAATATGGTAACTCATTTCCAAGTGCTCTCAAATTGTTTCAAATTACCCTGGATTTTTCTTCCAGGGAGCTTTCTAAGCACTGTTCAGGAGGGAGGGGGATGGGAGGGAA